GTGAAATTCATACTGCTTCAGCTGTGCTGTGAAAGAACAGCTGTTGCAGATATTCCTGGTACTGTAGAAATCTGTGGGTAGGAGGGCCTGGCATAAATGTGCCCGGCATGTGAAATCTAACTAACATCACCAAAACGGGATCTCCAGACCCACTTCCATAAGCTTTTCGTGACCATCACAATATTGATGAAAGAAAGTTTTCGTAACTAGATTTGAAAACTGCTGCTGCAGTTCTAATAAAAAACGTTTTTGGAAGCGAAAGAGGCCAGTGAGAAAGTTTCGGCTTTTTTCTTTTGTTCTTTATGCAATTACTGGATGAGGGCTGATTCAGCAAGGATCACGTTAGAAAAATAAACTCGCACAATTCAAATAGCCGTTTATTTGGGAAAAGGAATTGCCAAAAAGTAAATGTGTTTTTTCAGCGAACTAAGTGATACTGAGGAATACAAAGTGATGTCGGTTAGTTTGCAGCAGTGGAAGCTAGGAAGGAGTAGAAAGAGAAAAGATTGGGATTTTTTTGTGAAACTTTTATTACTATTTTCAGTAATTTCCTAAGAATTTTGTTTTATGCCCCTACTGTATTTTCGACAGTTTTTTACTTTAGATGTAAAAAATTGCTGGGAAAACTGAGAATAATTTCTGCTGTGTAACTGTGGAAAATCATTTGCCTCTAAAAAATTATCAAAAGCATTTGTTTTAGAAAAAAAATTTTCGTCTATTAAGCCGTGTTAAACTGAAGATCGGATTTGCAGCATAATTTTTATAGCTAAATTTGCAGATTTTGCATCAGTACTTCCACAAAATGTTTATGTTGGGCGTCGATATACGTTCTGTGCTAACGAACGCCGTTTTCATGAAGGTATACTGGGATGACAGTGTATTCTTGTCCGGAATAAAACAAGGCTTTTCGTACAATGCACTGCTTTACAATTATGTTTATTTTGAAAATGAACTAGATTTTCCAGGCATATTTTATCCGTTCGTATTTTTGTCAATATATATCCAGAAAACCGTGTAAATTT